ATATATTTATGTGTATTATAGCTTAAAAGGGGAAAAAGTAATACGATCGATATTTCATCTTATAAATGTATGACAAGTTGAGTTACAAAAATTAAATGTATAGACCGTATTTATTAATTAAAAGCCGAAAAAGATTGGTCCCCTTGTGAAAGAGATGGACTAAGAAGGAGGCTCCTTATAAGAGCATTGAAATATGATTTTCGTGACACCTAAAAAAAATCTTTTTTCCTTCTCCCAAATTTCATGTGCATTGCTTTGTTCCCTCGCCATCACTCCACCCCATTTATTTCCCCACCTATAGATATATATATGCATATTTATGTCAGATTGTATCTATCGATCGGTATATCTTAACGTTACTCTAGTATAGGACCTGTAGGTCCTTTTTTTTACCATTATCCAAAGTTTAGCCCCCACCAGGTTCTATTTATTTTGGATTGATTCTCAAAATTAGCTCTGGTCTTATGAAAAGTCTCTGGATTAATAGTAACCCCGATAACTATAAATGTGTTTAATAAATTGTCATTAATATGCGCTATATAGTGGTTTTTGACTAACATGACAAATTAACAACATATCATTAGTTTATGCATTTTAGTTTCTCTTTATCGATTCTGTTTGACGTAATTCGTCTTTTACAGATTTACTATAGTGATTATAATAACATATGTATAACATCACCACATGCACAAAACGAAATAGTTTTAGTAACACTTTGGACGTAAAGTTAAAAGGAAGTACGTAATCATAAGCCAACAAACTTTCAAATGAATATTATTATTAATTATGTCACATTTTATTTAAATATATGCAGAGAGAGAACAACATTAGCAACAACAACGCTGATAGGTGGCAGCAGCAACACGATACACAAGAAGTCGTGTCATTTGAAAATTTTCCGGCGGAAAGTTCGCCGGAGATCTCTCATGACGTCGAGAGCACAGCTTCTACTCCAGCAACCACCGTTGGAGAGAGAAAACACGCCATGGCTGTAGCTATAGCCACGGCAGCTGCTGCCGAAGCAGCCGTTGCAGCCGCACAAGCTGCCGCTAAAGTCGTTCGGCTTGCAGGCTACAACCACCAGACGGAGGAAGACAGTGCCGCCGTGCTAATCCAATCGCACTACAGGGGCTATTTGGTAAATTTCTCCCAATTATATTTCCGTTAACAAATACAAATAATTAAGTTACAAAAAAAAAAAAAAATACAAATAATTTTCATTAGCAAACTTTATTTACCCACTTGACCATAAACTTTTACCGGTTCTCTTTTCCTCGAAAATAAGGATGCATTTTGGTTAGAATCCGGTACAAGTAAATTCAGTCGAGTACTGTGATTTAACCGGTGTTCACGGAATTATCGTGTTTATAGTTCTTTTATTTCATTTTCTACTATATATGTAGCTGTAAACTAATGCTAAACCAGAAATCTTAAATAGTCCAGCTTACTCAAAATTATGACCGGTTTTGTAATTTGTGGTTTCATTTTTTTCTCTATCGTAGGCAAGACGAGCACTTCGTGCCTTAAAAGGGTTAGTAAGGCTTCAAGCATTGGTCCGTGGCAACCACGTGCGAAAACAGGCGCAAATGACTATGAAATGTATGCAAGCTCTGGTTCGTGTTCAAGGCCGAGTCAGAGCAAGAAGGCTCCAAGTGGCTCATGACCGGTTTAAGAAACAATTTGAGGAAGAAGAGAAGCGGTCCGGGATGGAAAAACCGAACAAAGGTACATAAAGCATTGAAAAGATTCAGTACAAATTAAAGCCACCCAATAGATATATATATATTAATAATAGTGAACATAAATATTTGTAGGGTTTGCGAATCTCCAAACCGATCGAGAGAAACCGAAGAAATTGCACGAAGTGAACCGAACCAGCCTGTACCAAACTCCAGGAAATGTAATGTTGGCAAATCGTACGTACTATGTTCTACAATATGCTCTTAGAAAAAATTAGTTAACAGTATTTTGATAATACAGGAAAAAGAGAGGAGTGAGGGAATGATGAAAAGAGAGAGGGCTCTTGCTTATGCATACACCTACCAGGTTGGTCATCTCTCTTTTTCCTAATAATTTGTTTTTCACAAATAGGTTTTTATTAGTCGAGAAAAATTAATATGGAAATTATTGTTACATCGAAATCGGAAACCTTTGTATTACTATTTATCCTTAATCTTTGTATCTTTCATATTGAAGCGGCAAATGCAACACCCAAATGATGACGATGCAATTGGATTTTCTGCTAATGGGCCTGATAGACCTCAATGGGCTTGGAATTGGCTTGACCATTGGATGTCATCCCAACCATACACAGGCCGTCAAACCGGCCCCGGTTCGAGTCCCGGTCCCGGACAGTATAATCCTCCTCCGTATCCGCCTTTCCCTACAGCCGCAGCAACCACAGCTGGCACAACCACACCCGATGATGATGTATCGGAGAAGACGGTGGAAATGGACGTGACCACTCCGAATAGTCTCAAAGACAAGATAATCGGTTTGATTGATCGAGAGTATATAGACAGAGGATCATATAGACAAGCCCATAAGCAACGGAAAAGCCCGGCCCATATACCAAGCTATATGGCTCCAACCGCATCTGCAAAGGCTAAAGTTCGAGACCAAGGCACGACCGTGAAGCTTCAAGGAACATCTTTTATGCCGTATTGGAACTCCTCGACCAAAAATGGTTCGATCAACGGGTCGGGTTGTGATTCGTCAAGTTCGGGTGGAGCAGTAACAGCTAGTTATCCCGGTCCTAGGAGTCCTAACCCGAAAACAGATATCCGACGTAAACCGGTTAGTCCTAGTCAAAGTCCTACCGGGTTTGGGAAGAGAGGCTGGAGACATGATCATTAGAAGAAATATCTTTAACCTTTTTTTTTTGTTTGCTTGAATAAAAAAACTTACAAGTGTGTGGTTGGTTAATTCTTAATTGTCTTGTTTAAATGTATCTTCTTTGTTACATAATTGTATATGACATTAATAAATGAACGTGTACTCTCGAGTTTTCTTTTATGTCACGGTCTAATCAAAAAGAAAAATCACCATTTCTACTTCGATCGGCTTGGTCTGGTTAAACCGATCCGCCAGAAGTATAAAAGCCAACAAAGTAGGCTTAACGACTACTGTATAAAAATTTTGGAACGAGGCTGAAGAAATAGATTTGCTAAAGTGATCAAGTTACTTGTCGGTTGCATTTACTAATATTTAATTGGTTTCACCAAAATGTTTAGTTGGTGGTGATATGAAGTAACTGATGATATAACTTTGCACAAAATGATGATCGCTTTAATTATAGTAACCAACCACTCTCAAATGCTCCGAGTAAAAGAAGAATGACACAGAGGAAACACATTCATGGGGTTGTATATAGTTTTCCTCAGAAAATATAATAAAGAATTCCATAGCTGTCGAAAGACGTGCTTCCTTTAAATCATTGCATGTTCTTCGTTTTGTAGTATTTTGTTTTAAAAAAGTACATGGAATTGTTGGTCATATAACTAGCTAACCTAATGTCCTAAACACAAAGCCATGACATGGGAATGAGATTTGTCAATATTTGTTTATTTATAAATAAAAAGGTGATAGTATGAAATATAATTATCCGTTTCTCTATTTTTAAATTAGTTTAGTCGACAAGACAACCAAAAATATACTTTCTCTATTTTTTATTAGATGATGTTTAAGGTTCTTACACATAAATTAAAAAATCATTTAATTATATATTTTTTTAAAATAAAATATGTTTTAACATCAATTCTAAAATAATTTAATCAATAGAAAAAAATATGCAAAATTTAAACAATTTAAATAATAAAAATATAATTAATTTTACGAATGTCAACTATATATATTTTTTTAAAAATTTCTAAAATATCTTATATAAAAAAAACGAAGGAGTTATAATATATAGAGGGTAATTAAATTTAACAATGTCCATTGGCTCAAGGCAGCTGAAATCTATGGTGAATAACTATTGTAATACTTTTTTTTAATCTTGTGAACACTATTGTAATTTTTATTTATTTATTTACTTTTAATATTGTTTTTATTACCTTTAATAAAAAAAGCTTCCTCCTTTGTTTTTCGATCGGCAAAATGTATATGCAAATAAACAAAAAAGAACCGAGCGAGCAAAAAGAGCGAGCGTTTCTCCGCAAATGACGGGACAAAAGTGGGTTTAGTCAGAGGTTTCTGTATTCTACAAGACATTGTTCACCTCCTTCCTTAAAATCTCCACACAATCACTAGACATATACTCACTTTCTTCCGCGTTCTCTGTCGAAATTCGAACTGTTACTGTCTTCCCTGTCTTCAAATCTTCATTGTTTCAGACGAATTGGATCCGCGTAAACACCAGAAAAAGGAGCAAGAGAGATGGAGAGGGATACATTGAACATTTATAGTTTGCAGGTTTGATTCTACTCTCATCATCTGAAATTTCGGTTGCAATTAGTCGAAAGGTCGAAACTTTTCGTCTACTGGGTTCTTCATTCTTAGCAAATTTCTCTTTCTTTTTTATTTGTTTGTGTTGTTTAATCATAGTTTCCTTCTTGGGAATTTTTGAAACTTTTATGTCCCTTTCTGATATAGAGTTGAAAGAGTACTAATAAAAGATTCAAAGAAAATCTATTTCGCTTTAGATCAAACTGTTGGTTGCTTTTTAGAGCTCTGGATTCTACTTCTTGTCTGTTTCTTCTTTTTATCTTATTAGTTTATATGGATCAATCAAAGCAAAATAGTTTTGTTATTGAAGATTCTTCTACTATAACAACTTCTGCACAGCACAATGTTTTCGTTCTTTGAGATTTTTTTATCTCAGAAAATCAATCCTTTAACCTGAAAAGAGTTCAACATCACTGCCCTTATTGATTGCTGCTATCTCACAATTCGAAGATTACTCTCTCATACACTTCGTAGACGAATAGATTGCTTGCAGCTTATTAATTCAGAAAATGTGACTGTTGTTGGAAAGTCTAAAAAAGAAGTTTGTATAAAGAATGAAGTTTGATCTATCTTCATTCTTATATGGCGATTTCTTTTTTCCACAGTGACAAGGTTGAGATTCTGCTGTCCCTCTCTTTGAGGAGAAGAAAAAGAGTGCAGTAGCTACAATGCCCGAGTCTCAAGAAGCTTCGAATTACGATGAGGTCTCTATGCAGCAAAGCATGCTCTTCTCTGATGGTCTTAAGGTAGATTCTGAATTTGCAAATTTTTTCTGGCTCTTTAGTCTTGTTTCTGATAGCACTTTAAGTCTCTCCGTGAATGCTATCGAGCACTAATGTTTTGTAACATTCTTTCTATGCGTAAAACCGATAGATTTAGTGAAATGAAAATGATATAAGCTTCTGCTTCTTCTTTTGTTTCTCAGGACTTGAGGAATTTGCGAACGCAGTTGTATTCAGCAGCTGAGTATTTCGAACTATCTTACACAACTGACGATAAAAGGCAGATGTAAGCTTTAGTATTCATCAGCGTTTCAGACTAATTGTGTCATTAAAATTGTTTCTTTTGTTTTTCTCGGGTTGTTTCTCAATAGTTGTTCTCTCGTGTTAACATGCAGAGTTGTAGAGACACTGAAAGATTACGCAGTGAAGGCTTTGGTCAACACAGTTGACCATTTAGGCTCTATTACTTACAAAGTGAATGACTTCATCGATGAAAAGGTCGATGAAGTAACAGAGACCGAACTACGAGTATCTTGCATCGAACAGGTAGATAAAAGTTCCTCACCAAACTTGTTTTTTTTAATGCGTAAAAAGGTTCCTACTTTATGTTCTTTCTCAGATTGATGATGCTTATATTGGTGGTTATAGAGACTAAGGATGTGCCAAGAGTATATGGATCATGAAGGGCGTTCACAGCAATCACTTGTCATTGAGACTCCAAAGTTCCATAAACGTTACATCTTACCCGGTAAAGTGTAAACTCTCTCTCTCTCTCTCTCTCTCTGGATTTCGAGTTAGAAATTTCACGGGACTCACGAGCAAAAGCTGCGTACTTGATCAGCTGGTGAAATCATGACTGCTACGAATCTTGAAAAGCTCAAGTACTTTGGAAGCAGTTTAGAGGATGCAGATGACTGGAACCAATTCCGAAATGGTAAGTTTAAATCTTTCCTATGCTTCTTGTCGTATATATTCCAAGATTCAAGATTTCTTTCCTTTGATTCTTGTTTTTGTTCTGTGTCTCTCGAAGCTGTTCGTGCTACAATCCGGGAAACACCTCCACCACCTGCTGCTGTTAGGTATAAGCTCCTTGCTCAAGAAATCACATAAAACCTCTATCTTTACACCTAAACAAGTATTATTGCCTTTTTACAGAAAATCAACATCTCAGACTCCATCTCCACGGCAACCACCTCAACGATCAGCAACCTTTTCGTTTACGTCCACAATGCCAAAGAAAGAGCAAGGTAAAAGAAACCGCAACGTCTTGGTGTTGAAAAACCGATCTTTTTTTACATGTTTTTGTGTGATATAATCAGATAAGAGATCGGTTTCACCGCATCGGTTTCCTCTGCTAAGATCGGGATCCGTCGCTACTCGGAAGTCAGCATCAATCAGCCGGCCAACTACACCAAGCAAGAGCAGAGCTATTACTCCTATACGGGTAATTAAAAAAGCTTCGATTCGAACATAATTCAACTAGAAAGCTCTGTTTTTTTTTTGTTTCTTCTTGATTCTTCTTCTCTTTTGCATTTTTCAGTATCCATCAGAACCAAGAAGATCTGCTTCGGTTAGGGTCGCGTTCGAAAAAGAAAACAAGAAAGAAACAGAGCAACAACAACCGAGCAAGAGCAAACGACTGCTCAAGGCTTTGCTTAGTCGACGCAAAACCAAGAAAGATGACACTCTTTACACTTTCTTGGACGAGTACTGAAAGTCTGAAAGATCATAATATCGGTTATCTGTTGAAGCGGTTTACTGAACCGGATGATTGGCAATTTCCTCTTTTCTCTTTATTTTTTTTAATATAGAGAAAATATTATCTACTTTATATGTTGGGAAAGTCGATTATGTAAACTGAACTAGACCAAACTGAAAAAAAAAAAAAAAAGCGGACAGTAAGCTTGACCGGAGCCAAAATGATCCTGAACTCATCATGATGCTTATGTTGATTCTGAACCATTTAAACCAGGTTCCGGTTATCTCAAGGTTGTATTCAGTATTCACATGAGAATGATGACGGACTGAAACTTGAAACGAAACTGAAAAGATCAAACTCGGGAGCTTTCTTGTAAAATGGGCATTTCGGTTTAAGTTCGGGTTCGGTTCGGGTTTGGTTCGGTTTGGGTAATTTGGTTCTATAAATATTCAAACTGAACTCAACCAATATTAATTTGGTTTGGTTGTTCGATTTATTTCGGTTCGGTTTACTTTGGTTCAGTTTGGTTTTTAAATTGGTTAACACAAATTAATTTATAAAATATAAAATAAATAATTAATAATATTAACAAATCGAGCAATGTAAAGATGTAAATATAATAATTTAAATAATTTTTTAAAATAAATATGAATATATAATTATAAAATTTGATATTAGTTAATTATAAGAACTTATCATTAATATTAATTTGATATTATTACTTAATTAATAAATATATTGGATTTTAGTTCGGTTAAAACTAAACCGAACCGAACCATTCGAGTTGACAAAAACTCTAAATGTTTTGGTAGAAGCTATGGTTCGGTTTGGGTTGGTTTGAGTTCGATTGGTTCAGTTCGGTTTGATTCGGTTCGTTTGTTTTCCCCACCCCAATCTTGTTGAGTTACAATATTCCCAATTCCATGAAGAAACTAGAAGTGTCAATTGAAAAACAAATTTGATGAAGAAACCATAACGCAGTTGCATTAAAAAAATGTCTCTGAAACATTTTCAATTTATTATAAAGATGGAATGATTCAATATGATCGTTTTACATAATTTGGGTGGGTCCATCATGTCTTCTTCATCGGAGGCGGAGGCGGAGGAATTGTCGGGTCGTGTTTTGGGTTTGGGCCTGGATCTGGATAGTCCATCATCCTATCAATAGGCTCTTCAACCTAATTATTTTACGTCATTACCAATTACGTTTTGTTTGACTGATGATATTTATTCTTAATCGATGAAATAAATTTACGGGATAACTCTTTTTATAATGAAAATACAAAAAATGAAAATTTTATTTATACTGCATATATACCTTGTTCGAAGAGTATCGGTCATTCCGAGTAAATCCGCCACCTTCCTCATATCCTGTAAAATATTTACCACTTCAAATGTATATATATATATATATATATATATAATATTTATGTCGGGATCAGCCATTTTAATGTATTCTTACCCGAAGAATACAATGAAAGCATAAGCAAGAATAACATGAAAACCACAAGCTTCATCCTGAAACTGGAAAGCCTTCTTCTGATCAAAAAGATGAACGTATTTATTTCGAAGCTTATTACTTGTATATATATTGGGAAATAAAACTAGCATCTGCCGTTACTAAAGTGTTAAAGTGATTGCCATTTTGACTGAGTAAATTAATGGTTGACTTGCAAATAAAGATATGGGACAAAGGTCATTTAAATGCTGAACTTTCAAATTTCAGCCAATCTAAGCATTATCTTTTATGTGATCCATTTAAATAACAAATTTTTCGTTGACCGATGTTAAAATCACAAACTTATGTTGACTTGGCCATTTTAGGCACAACGTTAACATCACTAACAGATTGACTAAACACCGTTTGGTCAATGTCTATTAGTGAATTCAATGTCATGCCTAATATGGCCAATCAATATAAGTTTGTGATTTAAAAGATAATCAATATTAAAGTTAGTGATTTAAACTATCCACGCAAAACTTAATGCTTATAATGGCTGAAATTTAAAAGTTTGGCATTTAAATGATATTTTTTTTACAAAACGGTAACTTTTATTTCAATTAAAAAAAATATCTCAAACTTAAGATTATACAATGTGAAAGATTAAGAATCTTAAGGTTTTTGAAGTTTGTAATTAGCAATAAAACTGATGAAAAAACAGCTTAAACTTAACCTATTGAGGTTGTTTGAGATAACACATGATTCACTTAACAATGTAATTTTCTAAACAAAACCCAAATAGTTCAAGATGGTAAGATTACTACAGTTCTCTCCCACAACTTGAAACTCAATTTTTTCAGTAAAAATGTGATCATGAGCAATAAATGATCACTGTTTTATGGATTTTCTATATACTAAACGTAAACCAAATTAATATTCTATTATGATAGTGCTAACAAAGTAGAACAAGTTTTTTTTTGTGTTTGGCATCTTTGGAAAAGAAAAAAGAAAAAAAGTATGAAATATACACTCTACACAAAGCAAATCTTTTTTATAGTTCAGTTATGTAAATAACTAAATATGAAAGTTATCGTAATAATGGAGACATTAGTCACACGCAATTAGTCGATAGTCTTCTCTAACTTATGGATTGCACTCAACAAGTCATTTATGTATCACAATCTTTTGTAAGATTTGCATTCTTAGAAAGTCCTTAGATGTGGTTAAATTGATTTTTTTAAGTTAAACTCAATCTTTTCATTTTTTGTTGTTTTGGTGTAATGTAAATTTAATTTACATTTAAATATATTTTTTAATTAGTTTGGATTTACTTGATTTTGCAGTTATGTAAACTGATAAAATTGAAGTTTAGTTAGTAGAAAAAGAGGAAAATATCATTTAAATGCCAAACTTTTAAATTTTGGCCATTATAAGTATTAAGTCTTGCGTGGACAGTTTAAATCACAAACTTTTATATTGATTATCTTTTAAATCACAAACTTATGTTGACTGGCCATATTAGGCATGATATTGAATTCACTAACAGACCTTGACCAAACGGCGTTTAGTCAATCTGTTAGTGATATTAACGTCGTGCCTAAAATGGCCGAGTCAACATAAGTTTGTGATTTTAACATTGGTCAACGAAAAGTTTGTTATCAAAATGGATCACACAAAAGATGATGCTTAGATTGGCTGAAATTTGAAAGTTCAATATTTAAATAGCATTTTTCCCATACTTCTTCCGTTTTGTTTTAATTATCTGTTCTAAACCTACTTTTTTGTTACAAAATATTTGCCGTTTTCAGTTTTCAATGTATATTTATGATAGAATTTTTTCCAATTTTATTCCTACTTTTTAGTTTATTAATTACTCATATCAAACAAAACAAAAGTAAATCGAAAATTATTTATTTTTTTAATTTGCTCTAAAATCTTTCAGAGCGAGAGAGTTCTTTCTTTGATCCGATTTGATCGGCTTTTTGGCTGTTTTATAGTTCCGTCAATCGGATCTTCTTTTCCGTTGATCGGATTTTACTTTCTATTTATCGGATTCTAAGTTCTCCGACAATGTTCTGTTTTCCTTTTGTTTGTTTTTATCTTTATTCCATACGAATTTGATGAATCTCTTTCCGTTAGTTATGCTAGATCTTCTCCCCTAAGAGCAATTCCTTCTCTTTTCTATTAATAAATCGTCGTGATTGCAAAGATGAGGTTTCTTTAGCGGAGTTGATTTGAGATTTGGGAGTTATCTTGAGTGATTGAGATGCATGATCTGCAGAACTGGCACTTCTCAGAGGCGGTCCGGTGAATATCCTATTCACTTTCACTTTCGGTGACTCTTTATTCTAATTTCTAATGGTGAAAGTAAGTTTTCTCATCTTCTTCTGGCGGCCACACGCAAAAGGAATAAGCAGCAGGATGGATTCAAAGCAGTTTTGCAGCGTTTCTTAGTTCAATTGTATCGGCGGTGGATTATTCCGATGATGATCGCAGTGCTGCTCATGCTCTTTTAGTTATTGAACACATGTCTTATTTCTTTTGTTTACACGCATTTTCCACGTGTTGAAGGCCTATATTTTGGTTTCAATGTTTTATTTTGGCCCAACAGAGATTGTATGCTGCTTTGTCCTTTATGAGCTTTTAATATTATCCACATACGACAAAAAAAAAATTATTTAATTTGTGTTAAAAAAATATAAAACGATAACTAGAAAGAAAAGAGCTAAAGGAATATTATTCTGTGAACATCAAAAATATCAAAAGAAATTATATAGACTGAAAATATTAAATTAAAAGCCTAGATTGAGGATGAGGTTCTCCATGCCATCTATTGGTTCTCTATGTCTACCTTATTAACAATTCATATAACTTTCTTTGATAGCAACATTTTTTGGTTTAATTTTTTATAAAAAATACATATATGTTTGCAAAAAAAAAAAAAAAAAAAAATGGTTAGCTACAGATTTCCTTGATTTGGAAAGATAATTTTATGATTGTCTTTTTTAAATCTTTTAAAGGAGAAAAACAATTTGTAACACCCCGACTGTCTCTATTGGTGAGCACACCTAAGTCCTCTCTCGGACCTATGGTTTTTGCTCCTGTCGACGGCCAGTGCATTATTTTTCTCAGAGGTCCGAACGACTTATCTATTGACTTTGCAATTACTACGTAATATTTTTCCGTGTTTTGGACTTCGTCTACTCTGAAAAGTCAATATTGGTCAATTGTAGATCTGAAGTCTATTTTCACGAGTAGACTTCTTACAAAAAGTTAAAGTTTGATCAATTGCAAAACAAACTTTTTTTTACGTAGACTTCTCGAATAGATTTTTTGGAGTGAGTAGACTTCTTTGAAGACTTCATACGAAGTATACTTATGTAGACTTCATTGTTAGTCTACTCAAGTAGACGTCCAACGAAGTCTACTATTTCTCTTTTTTTAAACACATTTTCATCAAATTTACAATGATTTTTAAAGATTTTATTGGTCTTGCGATTGTTTTAGTAAGTGTACTTACATTTGTATCAGTTTAAATGTTTAAATTATATATATATATATATATATATTTGATGAAATCAAGTTTCTTGTTTTATTTGGTATTAGCTTATTAGCCCGCAGACTTCAAGTGAAGTCTACATAGTAGACTTTGTTTGCAGTCTGCGACTTTAATTTTTTTATAAATTTCATTGATCAGAAATTTGTAACAAATAAAATTTATCATTTGACTCTTAAGTGTGTGTTATTTATTGGTCTTGCTTATGTATGAGTTTGACATTTTTGTTTGTTATAGTTTAGCTTTAATTAATTTTATTGTATTATTTGCTATTTTGCTTATTAGTAGCAGACTTCAGGTGAAGTCTACTTAGTAGACTTCGTTTGAAGTCTGCAACTTTATTTTTTTTTAATAAAATTCTTTGATCAGAAATTTATAACAAATAAATTAATTCTTTGAATCTCAAGTGTGTACTATTTATTGGTCTTTCTTATGTATGTGTTTGTCATGTTTGTTTGTTATAGTTTAGCTTTAATTATTTTTCTTGTGTTATTTACTTAGCTTATTAGTAGTAGACTTCAGGTGTAGCTTACTTAGTATACATTGATTTATAAGGAATGCGTAAATCACCAAGTGGTGAATTATGGTGAAAAGATTGATGTTTTGTGGGAGAAAAATGTGGCTAGTGTTATTTCTAAGAGTTTATGTTATTTATTAATTTTTACATGCTTGTTTCTTATAGTTAAAATATAATTAATTTTCTTCTGTTATTAAGGGTTCAAGGATGTTGATGACTAAGTTATAAGATGTGAAGAAAAAAGTATGATGATGACTGAGTAAGATGTTTAGGAAGAAGTCTGAGTAAGAAGTTTACTTCGGAAGTCTATTATGTAATATAAATCTATTGAGATAAACCCTATGTTATGTAATATAAGTATACTTGTGAAGTCTACTAGAGAAGTCTAATTGAGAAGTCTGCATATAAAGTCTGACAAAGAAGTTTGCATACGAAGTCCTCTACTATTCTTACATAGAGGTTACGAAGTCTGCATATGAAATCTGACAGTGAAGTCTACTTTGCATAATACATAAAGACACATAATATGAGAATATGATACAAATCATTCAATACAATCCAACATTACATATAAAGTAGACCCTTTAAATAAACAAACATTTAAGGATCACTGATTATATATCTTAAAATTCGCATAGGAAACCAGTATTAAACTAAAACGACTGAAAAAGATGTCTATGACTGAAGTCTGTGGCTGAAGTTTGCGGCAGAAGTCTGATTCTGACCAATGACACCATATAATCACTACAAAAAAGTAAATATTGTTACAATTTTTTATGTCACAATGTATAATTTTTCCGTCACAAAATTATATTGTAACGGTAATGTTACAAATTATTAAAGATCACAAAAAACTTCACAAGTCCATTTTAGTTATAAAAACGTCATAACATGATGTGATGATTGACAATAAAAGATCACAATAAAAACTCCACAAGTCTATTTTAGTTATAAAAACGTCATACATGGTGTGATGATTAACAATAGTAATGATTTGTCACCACTTGTAACGATATTAAAACAGTGACAAAAACGATATAGTTTATGACAAAAAATACTATCACAATTAGATCACAAGTTATGACAAAAAAACTTCTCACATATTTGTAACAAATTCTTACTTTATTTACATCACTGATCCGCTATAAATTATG